AGTCTTTGTTTGGTCTGCTGCTACGTATTTTTCCCTTTTAATTTGTTTTTGTATATTCAATCTTAGAAAGCTTTAATCTCACTCCAGCTTCCAATTTTGACACTACAGCTGCCTCTTCTCCTCTGCTTCTTCTTAAAACCAAAACAAATTAAAAATCACCCATTTTCTCTCTCTTTTTAAAAGATATGGTGAAACTGAAACGTCCACTGAACCAACTCAAGAATCCCATTTTGCCCCATCCCCACTCTTGCCCATGCATCTCTATTCTCTTTCTCCTTTTCCAGCATTTAAACTTTTAATTCTTTTAACAAAAAATATTATGTGTTTTTTTTTATTTAATTATATAATTTGATGGTGTCACATATACATGTGTAGATACGCAAGCATTTTGAAACTTGACGTCGAAGCAAACTTTTTTCCTATTTGTGGAAAACTCTTTTTCCTTTCCTCCTTTTACATCTAACCTAATCTCTCTCTTAATCCAAGCCCAACGCCAAGGGGGGCACTGCCACTGCACCACTTCACATCTTGGAAGCAACAAATAATTCTTTTAAAAAGAAAATAATTGGGAAAATTAGATATAATTCCTTCCCCGACATCCGAACGAGGTAGTGGAAGGGAAGCAACAACTCGATCTTGATTTTGCTTTTTAATCTCTCTCTCTCTCTCTCTCTGTCTAGTCTCTTTTATTTTATTTTATTTTACTTTCTCTCTCTCTCTACCAAATCATATGGTCCTTTTTGTTCTTATGTTGGAGTGGGAATTGGCTTCCAATAATAAATTAAACGTAAACCCGAACCACACAGAAAGAGATCATGACTTGGTGCAGTGGGTCGGACGACGAGTCGTCTGCCCCAATTGAGTTACCCAAATCCTCCATCGTCCCAAAACCCCATCATCCGCAACCCACAGCCCTCCGATGCCCATCGTGCGGTCATCAGATTGAGTTGCAGGATCAGGTACTTTTCCTCTCTAGTCTAGAATTAGAATGGTAATTGTTATTATTATTATTATTATTATTATTATTATTATTATTATTATTATTATTATTATCATCATTAATGGGGGATCAATTTTGAAGGGTGGGATTCATAATTTGCCTGGGCTGCCTGCGGGTGTGAAATTTGATCCAACGGATCAGGAGATTCTTGAGCACTTGGAGGCGAAGGCAATGTCTGATGCTGGAAAACTCCATCCCTTAATTGACGAGTTTATCCCTACTCTTGAAGGGGAGAATGGGATTTGCTATACTCACCCTCAGAAACTTCCAGGTTATTACTCCATTTTTTATTCCATCAATTCAAGATATATATCTTGATCAACTGGCTATTCTACTAAAACATTGCTTAAATTTGTTCTTCCTGATCTTATATATTAACTGGATAGGTATCAAATCGAAACAAATATTGAATTTGAGCTTCTATATTAACGGGTGATGTCAACGGAACGATTGAAGCCTCTTTCTACACAAATTTCACTCCAGTACTTTTTTTTTTCTTTTTTTCTTTTTAAATTTTTCAAAGGTAATATAGGTGTGACCTTTTTGGTATGTTTCACAATACATTTAAGTTCGAGTGTCATTTAAATTATGCTATTTTTGTAAAAATTAAAAATTAAAAATACATATTTATTTAAGGGTATGCTATTTATGTATGTATATATATAATTTTTTGGAAGGGTTTCTTCTCAAAGTCCGGAAATTGCAGAGTTTTTGAAATGGATAATAATATTTTAATCTGAATCCGTATTTTTTAATTTTGCCAATATTATTTTTTAAATTTCAATTTAGTTGGTTATATATCAGCGTCTTTCAATTTAATCCCTCACTGTTGGTTAATATTAAAATTAGTTGCTTAGTGAATCGAAAAATAATTTAGAGGGAAAAGGTCATCTAGAAGAGAAAATAATTCCTAATTCTTTTTCCAAATTTCTAAGAAATTGGTAGAAATTTCAAATTTTATTTTTCTCTAACACTAGTTTACTAATTATGGTAAGTTTATCATCAATAAATATTAACCTTTACCAATGACAAGAGTCTAAATGTAAAGATATTAAAACATAAAAGGCTAAACTGAAACTATTTTGGATATACAACTCCCCAAATAATAGAGACTACAGCGTATATTTAGTTTCAAAAAGTTGGTGCAGGGTTGTGTTTGGTTGCTTTTTGGATTTCATGGAGGATCGGATAATTTAAATCTTAAATTAGCTCGTGCAAATTGAAATTCAGTGTTGAATTTATTTATTTTTAAAAAGTTTTTAATTACGCTGTGTGATTAATTATTGAAAGTTGAGTCGTGTATGGTATCAAATCTCTGTCCTGCAGAAGCTATGTCTCTATTTGGAAAAAGAAGATAATTTGAAAGAAACACATAACCATGTTTTGCTTTTGAGTCGTATGTGTGTGTGTATATGTTCATAGTCTCTTGCGAACTGTTTGGCCATGTTTCTGTTCTTAATATCACGGTTTTGAAAACAATTGTTTTTTTTTTAATGAAAAAGTAGTGTTTATTTTTTTAAAGTTAACTGTTTAAAATAATTTTCCTTTTTTTATAATAAACAATAAAACAGTGAAGCTCTTTCAGAAAATAATAATAAAACAGTGAAGCTATTTCGGTTGAGCACACATTATAGTCTTATATAAAAATATTCTTGTAAGTTCACTCTCAAAATGTTTATCTTTGAACTTTTAAATTTATGAGCTTTCATAATAACTATTTTAATTTCCGAATGGTAAAATTATATATATAATATCTTAATTCTTATAATTATCTTGACCTTATTCTAACAAAGGGAACAATCCAACTCGCCAACCTAGCCATATATTAGAACTATATTAGATGAACAAAAATGTCTTTTAATCATCTTCTAAATACTTAAACGATAAAAATTCAGAACTGAAATGAGATTTAAATCTACAAATTTTTGTTAATGCATTTAGCTAATTTGATGCATGGCACTCAGTTATTTTTCTACCAAAAATTGTCTTACAATAATTCATTATTTTTAGTAGCATAATCTCTTAACTGTGAAATGGTGAAAACAAGATTTAGTATGGACCGATTAGGCGCCAATTATTTTACGAAGAAAAATAAGAGAATTGTATAAGAAAAAAAATGGTTGCTTTTGGGTGGCAGGTGTGAGCAAAGACGGGCAAATCCGGCACTTCTTTCACCGACCATCGAAGGCGTACACAACCGGAACCAGAAAGCGGCGGAAAGTCCACACCGACGAGGAAGGCAACGAGACACGGTGGCACAAGACCGGAAAAACCAGACCGGTGTTGGCCGGCGGCGCCGTGAAAGGCTTCAAAAAAATCCTGGTCCTGTACACCAACTACGGCCGGCAGAGGAAGCCGGAAAAAACCAACTGGGTAATGCACCAGTACCACCTCGGCAACAACGAGGAAGAGAAAGACGGCGAATTAGTCGTCTCCAAGGTTTTTTTCCAGACACAGCCCCGCCAATGCAGCTCCACCAACAACCTCCAATCCGAAATCAACTTCAAAAACTCCACCGCCGGCCCCCACCCGGATTCCGCCGCCGGACTTGTCGATTACTACAACGCCGCTTCTAATTTCATTACTTTCGACCCCAACTTGGTACTCAACGGCGACGGATCTTCGTTCATTCGCTTCCCGCCGCCCGACACCACCAAAAGAAAGCTCGACACCAAACTCTGACATGTCCCCTAAATTTCAAAATTTGGCATTGGTATCTCTCTCTCTCTCTATACTTTTTTGGGTTATAATATACTTTTTTTTTAATTTTTTTATTGTTGTTGTGGTGTAACAATCGAATAAGTTATTAGATACATCGTATATGTAGGTTTGATGAGGGAGGAAAAATTGAAAAAAGAAGAAGAAGAAAAGGCAAATAAGATCATTAAAAGGTGGTTAGATTGATTTTCTGTGGAGATCAATGAAAAATAAAATGGGGGAATAAGATGAAGAATCAATCAGTGTGTATATATACATGTGTATTATATATACTGATTTTATATATGTTGAAACAGCGCGGCGTTTATATGATTAAAATTGTACAGAGACTGCTAATATGAATCATAAGCAAGCTAATTACTTGTATATGCATTAGTGTCTGTAAATCTTTTCATTGTTAACATCTTAGAATCTTTTCTACATCGTTTTTATTTACAAATTTGGTGCCCATTAATGCATATCGAAACAGTAGTAGATACGGAAAACGGTAGGAATTTCTATTCGCGGTTGAGACGGCGTATGAAAGAAAGGATGGATATCAATTTAGGGCCGTAGATTTGGATTGGGTTAAAATGAATTAGGTAATTAAGACCCAAATAATTAAATAATTGAGCTAGATAATTAGCGGGGATGGTAATGAAATAGTAATGCTCTAAGAAATTATTCACCTATATACAAAACTAAAAATGTTACTTTATTGACGTATTTTTGACAAATCGGTGAACTAATTATACCAAAACGGCCTGCACAAATTCAACTGATTTAAACTTAAAATTAACACGTATGAAATGAAATAAAAATCAAGAAACAACCATATTATAAACAAACTCCTTGAATTCGTTGGGGGGTTTTAGGGGCCGATAGAGAATTCAGATCCTGTTTCTTATTTTCATATTCAATTCAATGAATATTTGTTTGTCATAATTGTTTTCGAAAACTGTTTTCGAATTTTGTAATAGTGTAATTTCTTAAAACAATTTTTTTTTATGTTTTAGTATTTTTAATTTTGTAATCCAAAACTTTAAAATGCATAGTTATATTTAAAGAGATAAAGCATTTGATTGATATACTATATTTCATTGTTATAAACTCATTTCATTTGTGTTAAATGAAAACATGTAAAATATAATATATTATAAATTATGTAATACTATAAAATACTAATTCTAACAAAAATTTATAACATTTATGTTAATAAAGTAATTAATAGTATTTTGATTGAACTAAATATTTACTTGGTAACCAATGACTTACACATATATTACAAAACATCTCGAATTTGTTTGTTTTTTAAATTGATATACATTTTTCAAATATGTTACCAAACACATATCCGAAAACAAATGAATACAATTTTGTTTTCATTCAATCCCTCGTTTTTCTATTTTTAGATCGCTTAACCAAACTTTATAACATTGTTGCTTCTTTGTCTTTGGTTCGTGTTATTTTTTAGAGCGATTAAGACATAAAAATATCCTAAGAAAAAGACTAATAAAAATAGATTTGCAAGATTTGTGCAATGGATTGAGCACGGATAAGTCCTATTTTGAAGTAAAATGATTGTCATGACCCATGAAATGTTTGATTTAGATCGTGGTCTAAACATAGTCATACCTTCAAATTAATTTATGAGGTGATGATTATATGCACAAAATTGGCCATACAATCCTTCATTTTTTAATTTTTATTTATTAAAAAATATTAAAGAGATGATTCAATCTTTTCAAGTTAAACCAAACTAAATTATATAAAAAGTATCATTGAACTTTGTCATTTATTTAAAAATATCTATATTATTTTAAAAGTTATAAATTTTCCATTGCCATTTTATAAACATTTCAAAATATTCATTAAACTAAGCCTATATTAATATTTTGAACGAAAAAATAAATTGACGGGACAAAATATAAAACTAAGTGATAGAAACTTTGTTGGATTGTTTACTCCATTGTATTGGCACTTTACCATCACAACAACTAACAAAATTCTCAGGCTACATAATATCCAACAGTTATCATCGGCACCACTTTCAATAAATCCAAAACGATACGACCCAAGAGGGCATTTTCGTCCTGTACAAAAAATAATTTCGCTTTAAAACCTGCAACTCGCCGGTCCAAAAATCCCAGTTCAGGCCGTGTCCGCCATTAGCGCTTTTCTTCCCCAACCGGCCGAGCCTGAACTCAACTGACATGGATCGCCAGAGTCCGAATCATCGTTTTTCTCGCTCTTCTCTAATCTTCCTTCTCTACTTCCCTCTCTTCTTCTCCAGAATCGGAGCTCTGAGGAACCGGAAGGCTTCGAACTCCTCGTCGGTGTCGGCACTTTTGGTGTTCGGAGACTCGACCGTCGACGCCGGAAACAATAACTTCGTTCCCACAATCTTCAGGAGCAATTTTCCGCCTTATGGCAGAGATTTCCCCTTCCAAATCCCCACCGGCAGATTCTCCAATGGCCGCCTCAGTACTGATTTTATAGGTATGTATTCCAGTTCCAATTCCAAATCCAAATTAGTAATGTGTTGATCTCCGAGTGGAATTAAGATTTAAGACGACGGGGTTTGGATTGATTTTTGTCGTTGGTGGTGGTGGGCAGCTTCTTACTTGGGAGTGAAAGAGTATGTTCCGCCGTATTTGGACCCGACGCTTAGCATTCCGGAGCTGATGACCGGAGTCAGTTTTGCCTCCGCCGGCTCCGGATTCGACCCGCTCACTCCCAAAGTGGGGGTACGTACTTCTCACCGGATTCAACCCCCTCCCTCCTTTTCTTTTTTCCTTTCTTTCAATTTTATCTTTAATTTTCAAATTAAATTTTTTACCATCGATTTCCTTTTCCTTTTACTTAAGTTATAAATTTKGTCCTAAACTTTTATAAATATTTGATAGGGGTTAAAACTTAGCCTATTTATTTATCTAATAAGTTTTTAAATAAAAAAAAATATTTCTAGAAATTTACACCGGAAAGATCTAATCAATTACTCACTAAAAAGTTTAAAATTTTATTTGAACAATTTTAAAATTCTAAAAAACTGAAAATTTACAGTGTTCACACATTGATATTTTTTTATAAATGATCGTTTAATGCGGTTAAACTTTATATAATTCTGAGATGATTCAGACGATCTTAATAATGAATGAGAATAAGTTGAGGAGGAAAATAGTTATTTACAAACAAGATGAATTTATTTTTTGGCAATTAGATTATTGTATGGTTTGACATATGGGAGTGGACACACACATTCTTGGGGAAATTAAACATTGAATATGCTTCCATATCTGTTCAGAACGTTGTGTCAATTTCAACACAAGTGGAGTATTTCAAAGAATATAAACAAAGATTGGAGGCTGCAATCGGGAAGCAAAGAACCAAAAATCACATAAAAAATACAGTCTTCTTTATCAGTGCAGGAACCAACGATTTTGTCATCACTTACTTCACTTCACCCCTTCGAAGGAAGACCTTCACTCTCTCAGCTTATCAGCAATTCATTATTCAACAAATCACCCAATTTTTCCAGGTTCTTCTTCAAATTAATCCTTCTTCTTTATTATCATTATTTAAAATAAGTATTAACTTTATATCTAATTGATTTAAATCCCATTTTAGAGGTTCAGTTCTTTAAATTATTCCATTTTCCTACCTAAACTTTTAAGTTTGTTTCATTTTGACCACGAAATTTAAAAAAGGTATGCTTTAGTAATTTGGAAACTTTTTAAAAAATAATTATTTTAGATGTTGTTTGTAACCGTTGATAGATGGTTGAGCTATGTTTCGATTATATGTATTATCATATTTGATGTGCGTAGAAAGACTGGTAGGATCAAAATGATTGTTAGATAATATTTTGGAGATGTAATAACCAAATGATGTACTTTTTTAAAAGAAAAAAATTTGAGATTAAAATAAATCGCATTTTAGAAGTTCATGGATGAAAATGGAATAATTTAAAAATACAGGATAAAAATGAATATTCTAAAAATAAAACATGTAACTTTAATATGGATTTATATTTTTCAAAAATATAATATAGAGTAATAATGTATGCATGTGCAAGTTGACTAAAGCGTAAATTTTTTCTTCTTTTTAGAATTCAACTGAAATTTTTGTTATATCTTAGTATGATGACACTTGATGCACCATAAATCATTACAAACTTTATTAAATATTTTTGCTGTTTTACTTTCTTTTCTTTTATGAGTTATACAATAGTTAAAAATGAATCATTACCTTTTGACACGATAAAATTATTATGGTTATTTTTAATTATTTTCAACGAAAAAAGAAATGATAAATAAAAAAGTCGAAAACAATGAAATGGAGACTATAAAAATATGGGTTGAATTAATGCATGGGCCATGGGGAGTTGGAATCAAGCTCGCTAGGTATGATAATAGAAATTGTTGGGTAAGACTTTCCAAGCTGGCCACATTCTTATATTTATAGTGCCTATTTAAATATACCTTTTTCTTTCTATTTTTATCAAAAAGTCTTGAAAATATTGTTCACTCAAACTAAAATTATCATTACACGTGTCGACCACAAATTATTCAAGATGCCCAAAAAAAAGAGAGGAGATAATGAATAGTTACCTAAATTTTAATATTATTTGTCAACAAGGACAGAACATGCAAGAAAAACTTTGTTATAATTAAAAAAGTATACATAATTTTTTTTTCCGACAAACATAAACTATTTATCTTTAATTTGTCTTCTGGACTTTTCAGAACTTACCCGTTATTAAGAAATGTTTTGGCTCCATCTTTATTAGTGGATATGGTAGGGAAGTAGATTCCAGAGTTTATAATTAGTTACGAGATTAATAAAAATAGTTGTTAGGCGGAAATTTTGTTATCACTTTCATATTTGAGAAGTAAATTAGTAAATTGAGTTGTAACGTAACCTAAATAGATGAATGGTAGAAAATAATAATAATAAAGGAGGGGTAGCTTGAGTAGGTCTTGCATAAATAATGTAGATAGATATATTACGGTGGATGCAAATTTCGATATGATTGGCCAGTCCCAGCTCACGGCATTATATTATATGTTTTTAACTTTGAATTCCACCTGTCGAAATAAATCCATCACCCTTCTTATTTATTACCATTTATTGGTCGCATTAAATTGTAGGGTCCTCCAAAGCCTTTTGTATGTTGAAATTAGACTACGAAATTAATGCATTTAACTAGTCAGAATTATAATGTTTTTTCTCTCTCTAAATTTTATGGGTAGGTGTTTGATATTGATTTTTTTTTCTTTTAAACTATGTTAGATGATTTCTAATTGATTGAAACTTGTCATAATGGTTTGAGTATTTATATTATTGGATTTTTTCCCCTTATTTTAGATGTTTTATAAGTTGAATCACATGCAAAAAAATTTCTAATTCAGTTTTGTAGTATAGTCCAACAATGAATGCAATTCTCGTACTAAAAAAAGATTAATCAGTTTTTAAGATGCAAAGGTTCTCGGCAACATATTTTTAAAGCTGAATGAGTTAGATTGGCCGTTTGTTTAAAATTTAAAATTAGAAATGAACCAATTAAAAACGGTGGGCTTTTGATGTGGCAGGCTTTATGGGCCGAAGGTGCGAGAAGGTTTGTGATGCCGGGGCTAGCGCCGATGGGGTGCTTGCCGGTGGTGATCACGTTGTACTCCAGCAACGCCATCCTAGACCGCGGCTGCCTCGACCGCTACTCCGCCGTGGCCAGAGACTTCAACGCTCTCCTCCAATCCGAACTGCTCTCATTACAGAATCGCCTCTCTCAGAAATCCCCCACTTTCATCGGCTACATCGACACGTACGGCCGCATCATCGAAATGATCCATGGCGTCGGAAAATACGGTGAGAACTCAACTGAACTGAGAGCCTTATTCCTTTCTTCTTATCTTGTTATATATTTGAATCGATCGAATCAGTGAATGAATCGACGGAAGGGAATAATTTTGGCGAATTTAGGGTTTGATAAAGTGGACGTGGGGTGCTGCGGGAGCGGGTACCTGGAGATGTCGCTGATGTGTAATTTCAAATCGCCGGTGTGCCCAGACGCCGGCAGGTACGTGTTTTGGGACGCGATTCATCCGACGGAGAAGGCTTATTACAACCTCTTCCAGGCTGGCATCCCTGCCCTTGAGTATATCACCGCTGACTTGCGTTGATTCTTTTTTCTTTTTTTTTTTTTTTTTACCATTCTATTTTTTTCTCCCTAAAACGTATTACATTACAAATAACAAATATGTGTTCCAATCTACGACATATGAAAAATAAAGCCAAACTTTAGCTCCGACAAAAAAGAGAAAAAATATCGAATCCCCACTTTAACATATTGAGAAATAAAATAAATGGATGTCTGATAGCTTGATTTATGTTAAAAACAAACAAATTGATAGTTGCACGGTATCAAATTTATGTGTCTAAGTTTATATTGCTTTTTTTTAATTATAACTTGATCTCTAAGCTCTTGTACTCATCGTATTTCTTAATGTTCGCTCGAAATGTTTTGTTTGAGTCTTTTAAAATGGTACTGAGTTTTTTTTTATTTTAATCGTTATTGTCATTTTTTATTGGTTATTAAACAATTAACTGGATTTGGAACCAACATAAACATAACATTTAATTGAATATCTCTAACTAAAAATTAATCTCCATCCTCACATCTTGAGAATTTAAAAATAGGTGTGTGTAGCTTCAAAGATTTATCATTGCAAATATTTATTAATTGTGTAAATTAAAAAAAAAAAGTGTTTATGTCAAGTCTCCGTTAAATAGTTTATTAATAAAATAACTTCACAAATTAGAATGATTATTTGTGCGGTACTTATGATATTCAGAAAGGTATTTGAACAAACATCCAAGTTCACTAATCTTAATATAATTGTTTTGATTTATTAGTTCTAAATGTATTATCTTGATAGATTAATTATTTAATTTTTTTTAGTTTTGTGATTTTGATTTGAATATCTTACCTCAATGGAATAAGTTGATGTTTTTGTTGCTAAACTATAATCATGTTTTATATCTTATTTTTTAAATGTTGTTAACCAATACAGTTCGTCATGTTGGTATAAACAAATTGAGATAGATAAATTATATAAACCTATGACCTGGAAAAGCAAAATTGAATATTTTCAAATTCAGTGGAAAATGTTCGTATTTGTACTAACTAAATACAACGAGATGAGTACAGATGCACATAATTCAATTCATCGAAATATTTCTTACATGTTTGAACTGAAAATTAAAAGCAGACAGATAAGTACAACTCTTACCTTTATAATAAGGTCTGAATTTTGAATTTCAACACAACAAAATAAATAACACCACACAATTAAAAGGGACAATCTCAAATATGTAAAAAATATTTAGTAAAAATAGTAAAATAGTAATCACATTTAGTTTTTTTTTATTAAATATGACGTTTAAAAAAATAGAATTCCAATTTTAAAATAACAACTTTACACCAATAATACAAATCTGTAATATATTTATATTTATATCGGACGACTCGTATGATATAGAAAAAAAGACAAAATATTAAATAAAAAATTTAGATTGACTATTTTTTTATTTAAACAARCACGAAAATCAAAGCTTATTATAGTTGTAGGAAAGATTGAGACTCACTGTCTAAAGATCGTTTCGATATCCAAAATGAATGAGTGTAGATTCGAAATTGTAACCTTCCATTGCTCGAGATCCGATAGCATGCAACAACTAGTTGTAAGAAAGAGGGAGAGGAGAAGAAGATATATAGAAAGTGTGCAGTGAGGGTGGTTGTAAATCACTAGGTAGCCAGTCTTTACTTAACTCGGCCCAAGCAATGCCCAAAGACTCCCATGCCTTTCTTGGTTGGACCAATCCAACCGACGGTATGTGTAATATGTATGTAACATATATCTAAATATGTTACTAATATGAGTGTGATATACTATTGATATAAATATCTGATAATATATTTTGAAATACATAAAACATTTTTACTACCAACGACAATTTTCCTAAGGGAAATTGTATTGGGTAGCTAAACTTTTATACCTATTTACAAAAATGTCAACCACTTTTGTATTTTGCAAATATGGCAAAATATTTGAATTTTTATTCTTGGAATTTGTATTATTCCAATTTTACCCTTATGATATCTGATATAGACCTAATGTATATCTCATAAACGCCAGATGGATGTATATCTAATATACGCCAGATGGATGTATATCTGATATATGTCCGATAGATGTATATCTGATATACGTCCGATGTATCTCTGGTATACTTCCGAGCTACATCTGATGTACATCCGATGAATCTCTGATATACATCTAATATACACTTGATGTATCTCTAATTTATTATATACTCAATATATTTGTAACGATATACCTATGTATATCTTATCTGATATATATCTGATGTACATTTGATGTATATCAGTGGCAATATTAAATATATTTGTAATTAATATCTGATATACATCAGTAGATATCAGTAGATCACAAATGCATCAATGTTAGATATTAGTAGATATCATGGTTATATCAATGATAAATTAGAGACATATTAAGTATGTATCATAGATGCATCAAAGTTATATTAGTGGTAAATCATATAATCTATGACAAGTTATATTAGTAGATATCACAATTATATTAGTGGTAAATTAAAGACATATCAAGTATATATCACAGATATATAAGTGTTATATCAACATGGTAAATCAATGGTAAATTATATAACCACATAAAAATCTATATCAGTAGAAATCATAATTATATCATACGTACATCAGTGGCAAACCATATTAGAAGTTATATTGGTAGATATCATAAATATATCAGAAGTAAATCAATTTTATATCAGTATTATATCAGTGGTATATCAAAGGCATATCAATAATATATTACACATGTATTAATGGTAAATCAATAAATAGTAAATAATATAATGATATAAGAAGTTATATTAGTAGATATCATAGTTATATCAATGATACATCAGTTGTAAATCAGATGTATATCAAGTATATATTAGATATATATATATCTCAGTACTATATCAATGGTATATCAATGCTACGAGGGTAAATTTGACATTTTGTAGATGCTAAATTTGTTATTTCTTTAAATTTTTTCGTCGTATTTGTAACGGCCCATTTTCCTAATTAAAATAAAATCAAATAAAAAATTCAAAATAGCAATAAATATTTTCTCACCCCTGCATATTAGAATAGTTTTCTCCACCTGGATTGCTTTTCATTCTCATTTCTACTCGCTCTTCCACAGCCCCAGATGTTTCTCAGTTCCCCACTTGGAATTTTGGCGGGAAATCAAGCAAGCAAGGCTATTTTTACCTCTCTTGGAACAAGTTTTTGAACTTCGCTATCGTTTTTGTTGAAGTTCCATCAGAGGGAGACGAAACAATGGAAAAATCTCGCAGCGGCATTGGAGGGGCGATCGAGGAGAATACCTTGGCCATTCTCGACGCATCAGAAGCCACTAAACACACTCGAGACGCCGACGATGATAGTACGATTTTTATTTTAGAATTCCAGTTTCATTCTTTTTAGTTTAGACTCCGAGAACCGTTGGGAATTCTGAGAAGAGGAATCAATTTTCTTCCAATGGGTTGGACTCGTTCGTCTTAGGTTGGAAATGAATACTTTCCATGGAGTGTATCTTTCAGTTATGATTAATTTGAAAAGTGTTTGATACAAAAGAAATCCTGCGTTTCATCGGTAGCTTAGTGTATCTGTAGGAAGAAGATTACTTGATTTCGTTCTCGTTGTATTGATCAATATGTTCGTAATCAGGAATTGCTTTTCTCGAAGCTGTTCGTGCGACTTCACTTTTGCCCGAAAATAAAGCGCCACCGACATTGTAAATCTCTTTTTCCTATTTACTCGTAATCGCGTATTGGAATTGTACTAAATAATCTTCACTAACTAGCCGACCTTGAAATTACATGGAATTTCGTTCACGAAGCAAAATGTGCGAGGCAGTCTTCAAAATCTTGAGGTTCGGGAAGTCCCTCGAACTGATTACAACAAGTTACCAGCTCTTGAACGAGTTAGACAGGGTATTCAGAGCTATCCCTATTACATATATCTGTTTATACATAACCAACTCTCTCTCTCAATGCGTGCGCCCATGTGTGGGTTTGACTCTCCTGTTTTGCTATACAGCAATTCCCTAGGGTTTATATGACGAATTCAGAAGGTTCCAGTATGTCCCCTGAACTAGTTGTGCTTCAGGAGGTATTGCAAACTTTATATTTTCTGCATCTTCAATCCTTAAATCATGTAAATGTGGTGCTTTATTTCCCATTTTGTAGTAACTGTTCTACTTCCTTTGTAGGCTTGGACTCCATTTGTTCTAGGCACTGACATTTCAGATAGTGAGAAGTCAACGGCTAATGATCTCACTGGTGGACTATTTGACCCCCATGTCAGTCGTACTTTCCAAACTCACCTTATATCACTGCCTGTTTCCTGATTGAATGATCTTTAGACTGCACAACGTTCTCTGCTACAAATACTGTCAGCTAGTTTTCTTTCTGTTTGAAAGAAAGTTTAGGTTGAACCAGTTGACTTCCGTACTGTAACTTGAAGTTCAAGTATTAAGTTTATGTTCCTCCGGAATCCATCCTTTCTGCATGTACTATATCCAGCTTCAATCTAGCTTCTGTGGTTCGCAGGGTCTTCATCTACTTCTGCAAGGCCTTGCAGAAGCATCAGATGTTGCGGATTTTCAAGCATCAGACACGAAGGTTTTCTCCTTATTTATGTTGCTTTGTCTTCGAAAAGAGTCTAGTGCAAGTCACTATTGTGAGTTCAGGGAAGGGCCTGTAATAAGAATTATGATATGCTGTCTTTGCCCATTTAATTTTTATCATATAAGTGACATAAAAGGGATGGTTGGTTGTTTTATCAGTTTTAGTTTTTGTCTAGTCTCGCTTCTAACCTCCTTGCTCAAATTTGTTGCAGGTCCTAAGGGACATGCTATTGTTTCATTATCTTGTCAGTGTCCTTGAAGGAGATTTTGGGCCTCGAAATCAGATGTACAAAGGTAACCTACTATATCCATAAGTTATGCCCTCCTAAAGTTCTAGGTAATTAAGAAGTTTATTGGTATGCAGAAAGCATGAATTGGATCTTTGTACGGGAGTCTTTGCTTAACATGATTCTGGTATGATATCAACTATTTTTTTTTTCTTTTCACCTGGTTTTAGCACTATTAGTTGTCATTCATAGGGTGATTCTCCATTTATCGCATTGCACTTAACTTTGAAACTTCTTTTGGTCTAGCCACCAGCAACTAGCATGCTGGAAGTCTCTATTTTGCTTATGTTTGTATTTGAAATTACTCCCTCTCTTCTTTAGTGTTCAAGGAAAATGAACTACAAAGGATTAATGAAGGATTGTATGGCTATTTTGTGTGGGTTGGGTCAATCTCTTGCTGAATACGATAACACTGTCCCATGTTCAGAGGCTTCTGTGGTGAAGCAATCTGAAGCTATTGATACTGCTTTGACAACTGCGTTACTTCACTTTGGAAGGATTACATCCACTGCCACGCTGAAACTTATGGTAATGGTAGGTATTCTGGAAATTTGGTCATCTAAGTATTTCTTTTTTCCCTTCATTATTGCTCTGAATGGAGAACTGGTATAGGTCATGGAGCTCGATTCCTCAAAAAAGTATGCGGATATGCAAGGTCATACTACCAGGGCTGATGGCGTGAGGTACTAATTTCTTTATTTTATTTTCTATGTAGCGTATTCTCTCTTCTTAAGGATTACTTTCTAAAAATATGCTTCGGTGAAATTTCTATGCAGAACCCCACTGGCGGAGATTATTCAAGATGAACTAACTTATGACAAAAACATTCTTTTGCCATTTCTTCAGGTTGCCATCCAACTACGTTACATTCATCCTCTTGGTTTATGCTTTTCTAAATTTCTGCAATCAATCAGTACCATGAGCAATGTAGTGGCAAGTGGGAGGATACGAGAAAAACCATGACAGCTTGTGTGCCTTCTATGATATTCTGAGTCATACATATGTTTTATATACTAGAGGTTCATTTGTCGCGAAACATCTCAAAAATAAGTATCATGCTTCCCATGATTTTATCATCATTATTTTCTTTTGTTAGGATGATTTTCTTTGTCAATTTTCTTACAAGTTTTTCAAGGCCTTTTCACCTTACTATCTTCTATCATTCAAGTTTGTCAATGTGTTAAAAGTATTATGATGATGTAATTTCTTTTCACGCAGGTCTTCAAGGACTCAAAATGGAAACTGGAAATAATCGTGCAGTTTTTCTGGAAATACATCTCCAAGGTATATATTTGATCTGCACCATCAGATTTACTTATTTGATTGTTTCTATTCGGGGTTTTAAGATGTATTTGGTTACACTAGCCTAATACATTTCTTAAAATTATATGCAACAATTACCGAGTATAATTGTGATCATACTGGCTCTGTGTCTCGGTTACCAAATATTAAACAACACAACTATTTATATATTTTGCAATTTTTGCAGCCTTCTGTTCGTACTAGGAGGTCTAACGGTCCTGCAGTAGATGCAACATTCTCTGGAGTATTGAAGTGCATTTCAAACAGCTCTAGTACAAAAAGTATTACTAAGAAGATTAGTGCACATGCAATCCAGCTTTTGTTAGCACATGGTTTTCAGGTGATTCACTTATCGTCTCATTTATAATAAATATAACGGTATTCGACCTACTGCAATGCTACTATTGGTTGCTTTATTGACTTTGCTGCATGCTTGAAATCCTTATTTACAATGTTTACGGTTCTTGTCGTGTCAATGCCTTCTTTTGTAACATGAGATAAATTTCATCAATACTTCGTGACAAGGTCTTTTTCCTAGCTGTTGTTACTCTTCCTAGGAAACAGTCATCCATGTTCAATTGACAAGTTCTTCACGAATTTCAATTTCTTATGCGGCAATGCCTAATCATTTAAAGGTTTATATATCATTATAAATTTATAACTATAATTTTTTGTTCAGTTCCTGAATTTCTTTGGTACTAACTTTAAGAAAGTGATAACAAGATCATATAAAGATTTGTATGTGCCGGCTTTGGTGCCTCTTAATTATCCAGGGTATTGCTTTGCAGTGCAAAATGAGAGAGTACAAAAAAACACCCTCCACGGTTCTTTACCCTCATCGATGTGTTTAATGTGAAGCTGATGGAAAAAACTTGGGTTGCCTTTTTAATGACCGTACTTCTACTTTGAGCTTTTGGGAAATTTGAGAGGGGGCACTTTTTATTAATCATTGTCTACCTTCTTGAGGCCATGGAAACTTTTGGTTTCAAATGTTCACTGGTCCTACCTTTTGAAAATCCTACTTCTGGCTTTAAACCTTCTAGGATTTTTGGGGGGCCGGAGAGATAGTTGGGGATTGGGAAAGATTCCAGCTTCATGCATCTCTTTGGCAGTTACTGCCAACACTTTTAAGCAATATCATATCTTTTTCTAATTATTTGTATCTTTTGGCTAATAGGAGAGCTTTCATATAACCACGACCCCTAGAATACCATTTAGATGTTTTCCTTATCAACACTATGAGAATTAAAAAAATAATAATAAAAAAGAAAGAAGAAAAAGATTACCAAGAGATAAAGTTCCTGCCATGCATATTCGGTTTTAAAATAATTGGTTATCTTATGTTATGCCTATCGGCTTGTAATCTATTGGCTCTAGTTAGTAGAGGCCATAAATAGTTTGGGAACCTTACTGAGTTCGTACATTGTCTTTCAGGCTTTTCTATTGCTCTCCACTAAACAACCACCTCTTGAAGGTCTCCCTGATTCCAAAGAACAAGTGGCAGGCGGTTCCCTCGTGGAAACTTGCAAAAATTTGATCTCTATATTTAATTGCCTTAGGACATTGGACGAGTAAGTTTCTCGTTTTTTATCTTCTACCAATTCTATTGCCTTTATGTGTATCAATATGATTATTAGCATGCAGTTTATAGATGTGTGATGTTCAGCGCTGGAAGTGAATGGAATTCTGTTACCAATGTGCCTCTCCATGGCACTACGACTTGCAAGAGTTGCAAGCATGTCAACTGAACGTCAACTTGTAGTTTAATACTTGATATATTGAATAAAGAACTCAGAAAATTTGAATAAAAAAGAAAAAGAATCAATAAAATGTTGTTTGGTCTTAATTGATAACTTGAGTAAAGAGGAGTTGGGGGTTTTCCACTCCACTCCTTGGCAATTCTGTAGTAACTCCAATTAATGTTAAATTGATCATTTAAGTGTATTTACATAGTGATTCAACATGTTTATTTCTGTTCTGTCAGTACTGGAAAAACCATTTGATTTCTATCCTAGGGGTTTGGCTAATAACGGTTTGGTTCTTATCTCACCCCCTTAGGCGATAGCTACATTTGGTCTTCCAACAGAACTTTATGAAACCTTTAATGCCATGAGCTGCATGAACCTTTTAAAATCTGGAACTGAAGGGCCAAACAGTAAAAGTAGTAGGGACAAGCAGGGATTTACATTACAACACGAGTGAGAACTCGAAGAATATTTTAGGCATCACTACAATCTTAGCTATAGCATTGTAGGCCAACTTGGTTCTTGACATATTGCGTTACAATTATTGTGATTATTTTATGTAGATTTTCAATTTCTTGGCTCCCATTTCAAATCTTAAGATCATGTCCTAATACAGGGAGTTGGAAATTTCATCCTGTGCCAAAGAGGCCCTTTTTGTAGCTGCAACAATCCTCTCCAAGAAGTTATAGAGCTCAACTGAAGTCACTTTTTGAGTTGTTCACTCTTGGAGATCACATTATATATATAAGGGTCCCCTATAACAGCAGCAATCCTCTCAACGATGTCATGAAGAAAAAAAGCAACCTTTTGAGATATTTCGAAGGATGATGTCATGTACAGGTAAGCAATTGACGATTTCAGAATTAATCTTAATTTAGTCGAGTAGATCATGTAACCAGTCTGGTGTCCTCAGCCCTCCACTCGTTTAGGATATTTTGACTTTATTTTTTGCATTTTTTCAGTGTTCATCGTATTACTTATTCAAACTTATGCATTAAGAGTACAAGACAGTTGCTTATACATTTAAAATATTAGTGTCATGTTTATGCAAACATACAAGAGGAAGAGCTAAAAATAGAAATAGCAGTATACGGGTGTAAATGGATGCATGTTAGGCCTCAAATTGATTTATTTCTGCCAGCCACTAGTCTAACATATGGCATTATTTGATAAGGTACCGGTACTGTAAATTAAATTAGACTGGTTATTGAGTCTAGATTCCGCTGATATTTGTTCAAGCATGATACTCGTTTGGATTTGAATTGAATAGGTCTGAAACTAACAAAAGGAGCCCAACAATTTTTTGAAGTCCCAATAAGGATTTTAAGGAAAGCCTTCGCGGCTTGATCTTATCTTATAGATCGATGGTTAAGAGGAAAAAAAACCGATATTGTCATAGGAGAAAATCACCATACAACCCCATGGCCAATGCTGATTGAAATTAGTAGATAGCACAACGTTAGGGCATAAGCATCTCCACTTTGATTATATAAGAGAATCTTCCATTCCGCCTAGAACATCTTCAACTTGTAACTAAGTCCATGAAGAATCGACAGCCATTATGAGTCTTCTTGAGCTTCAACCGTGTTCCTGAAATGTAAGTTAATGAAAATCACTGTCAAATTACCACTTTTCCAAACACTCTGCAGCAGGCAGCAGAGCTCATAAGTTGGGTGATTTGCTTACTTAGACGGTTGGGAGTCGATCTGCATTGTGACTGGGCCATCATTCACCAAATTGACCTTCTCAAACATCAATGACCTCAAATATCAGAACTTTTCCTTCCCCAGTATATATCAAAGTTTCTAGGAATTCAAAACTGAGCATAGTGAGATTACCTTCATCATTGCTCCAAACACTCCATCTGCCCACAGGATAAGGAAACAAAGACAAGATTCAGCAAACTCTTTGTTCTACTAGTTCAATCCATTCCAATTTGGAAGAAAGAGATTGAAACTGAAATTTGGGGAAGAAAAAAAAGAGCATAGATTACCTTTAATCGCATCTGGGTTATAGGACTTTCCGAACCTCTCAACCACAGAAGCATAGAAGGGTTTAGCTCTTTGGGGAGGCATTGCCACATGAAAGTCCGGCTTGTTTCCCTTCAACATTCCGTACAGTGTAAACTGACTAACTGGTCGCAGGCCACCCAGTATAATTTAATAAGTGGATTGAATCTAATTCATTTCTAGGTACAATTCCACACCAGAAAGCTAAATCATCAACACTTCTCTGTGATTTAGAGAAAAAAAAAAAAAAAATCAAATTTAGAAGCCAACCCCGTTACTTACCCAAAAGAACCTCATAGTTTTTCTGCATTACCTGCAAATGTAAAGAAAATTGGTTTAGTTTTCTTGAATAGGGAACTCCTAGTGCTTGTTAATTGGATTGAAATGGCAGCAAGGAGGGTACATATAATATAATTACGTTTAAGTCCCAAGCTTTTCCGGTACTCTCATTCGGGAACAATCTCATATTCAGGACCTTACGGCATCTGAAACCCAATTTAAGAAGGAATAAATAGCTTTGTGATAAGAACATGTTTTATTTGAGCATGGACTTAGTACAGAATACACAGAAGGATTGAGGGTTAGGTAGAGTACATGTATTCGGCGTCGGCATCGGAGTCGGATTCATGAAGACCGACGAGAACGAGGAGGCCAGGCCCAATCTCCGAAACTGTGCGGCCATCGACCTGCAAAATGCAGTGTATGTCACAGTGTAGATTTCGAAAAAACATAGAGAGATAAGAGATAAGTTACCTGGACGCTTGCAGAGACAACTCTCTGAACAACAGCTCTCATGGATCTAGTCGGCTGTGTTTTCTTGTTGCTCAACAGTCTGGTTCGCTTGGTACCTACGCTGGCTGCATACAGTGGCAGGTTTGCAACACTATTCATTCTTTTCCCTTTTCTTTTCTTTTCTTTTTCGGGATTTTGTCAAATTTTAGCAAGCCTTTTTTCTTTTTTCTTTTTTGGGTGAAATAAAGAAGCCTTGATATGGCTCGGTAGTCAGTGGTAAGAAAATAGAAAGGTGAAAATATGATCTGGGCTAATAAAATTTAAACCTACCAGAAGTGTCAAATTTTCGCCCCCAAAGGTGAAAATATGATTGGGCTAATAACATTTAAACCAACCAGAAGTTTCAAATTTTTGCCCCAAAATCTCAGCATGGTTAGCAAAAACTTGGAGTCTTGTGGTGATACTGGGTCAAAAGTTCCAAGTTCAAATTTTTTGATGGGCAAAAGTTCGAAGTGGACACGGTGTCCTTGGATATAGGTGAGCAAGGCATCCGACTCCCCATTATTAAAAGAAAAAGAAAAAAGGTCAAATTTTCATGCAGAACAAGACCTCACAGGGATTTGCTCTGATTTTTTTTCTTTTCCCATATTAATTTTGGGACGGGGACGAGAACTGGGAATGACCAAATCATTTTCCATCTTCATAAATTATTTATTTATTTATTATTCTTCTTATTATTATTATTTTGGTATCCTTCGAGTGTCGGAGTCCAATTCATGCACTTCGACTATAATACATCAATTTTAATTTAGAATATAGGTTATCCCGCTCTTGCAATTTTTTTTTAACTTATCCAAATTGGAGAACATTGCAATATTACTTTTTTTTTCTCTTGAGGTTCGAGCAGTAGTAAGTATTACATGAGTTGAAAGGTAATAATTTGAAGTAAATGAAGAACATTGACATGCTAAAATTATTTAGAAATCAAAAGTAATTCGACATCTCAATTAATTCAATTTTATATAATATAAACATATCAGTTTAGTTCATGCTTTTTTTTTTCATGCGAAATTAAAGTCAAAATTACTTCTGGCATTGGTAATGCGATTTTTAGCAATTTTAATAAAAGCAATTGCTGTTCTAAAATGAAAATTACATAAGCAACACCCCTTCTCCCATGTATTTCTAAAAATAAAAAAATAAAAATAAAAGGGACTATTTTCAAATATGCCATCAAAGGCATCAAGTCTGATGAATGCTACAATCAATCCTTCTCTCCCCATGTCTTCGTCCCCTTTTCACGCCAATCGACCCCATTTTCTCCATCGCCGCCGCAAAAGCTTGAAAAAACTTCTGCTTATCCTTCGCCAAATTCTGCACCATCGTCTTCATCCTCATATCCGAAACCAGAGCTTGATCCGTAGCCAATAATCCCAATTTACCTTCCAAATTCCCGTAGTACGCATGATCAAACACGAACGGTGTCGTCACGTCGAACGGCGCCACTATATCCGTATTCCCGCCGTAGCGAGGGCACGACATTTTTAGCGCCTTCAGCAGCCTGCCGTCGATCGCCGGATCTGGTTGCTTCGTGCCTCGGTAGTCGTAGAGACGGCTGATGAAGTTCTCACAATGCGCAAATCCGATCGTATGCGCACCGGAGAGGACGACGAGGTCATCGGCTGACAAGCCTTTGGAATTGAAGAGTTTGAGAAGCTGATCGACGGTGGAATTTGCTCGCGGCAGATTGGAACCTACTCGAGACGCCATTGATATCTTCCCATCCCACCGTCCCTTCTTCACCTGGTAATACGGCCCTCCCGCCTGCAAATCTCTCTAGTTTCAGAAATTATTTTATATTGAAAATAAAACTCTTATCAAATTGGGCTTTGTGAAACCGCATCTTGATCACCAACCAAACGGGCTTCGGCCCAATAAATCTAAATTTATGAGATGGGACGAAATTACCTTTTTGCCCCTTTATAACAAGGGTCAATAAGCTGAAACTAATTTCAATTATTTCTTCTATGTACAAAACATACACGTTGGTGATTAATAACTAAAACATCATTGAGAAGAGGAATAAATGATTAAATAAACGAGTTCAGCAGGACAAATTAGTAGTAAACCAATTATATATGATTAAAAAAAACAAAAAAAAGCACATGGAACTTTGATCAGCTTTGGCTTTTGCTTAATTTGGATTTGGATCTATTGGTTTCCCTGGTTGCAAGTTGCAAGACAGCAGTCAATTGTATTTCTATGCTATTAGATATAATTATATGACCAACTTGACAAGTTTTCTTTGTAGTGACTAGTGTAATGTTTGATTTTCTTTAGGTTGTGTTTCTGATTGTGAATGGGTGTGGCTGTGTTAGAATCTGACTTTAGCAGAAATAGATTTCACAGTGAACGAAAGAATGGTGAAGCTGAAAGGACAATTTTCTATCTACATTTATATGCTGTGGACCAAGTTAAACAATTACAAACCAATTATAAACAGAAGCATCTTCTTCTTGTCATTTTGCTTCCTGTATCACCCAAGTTTTCTAATCAAACAATGGAGAAAATGGCAAAATGGAAGGCAAATTTTCTTGGATTTTGGGAAATTCATTTAGGCATTTGATTCTTGTTTGCATATACAGATTTTCTTTTCCCTCTGAACCCATCTCTCGCTTTTTCCAAGTAGAATAGTAACTCAATTCGACATCAAATCGTTGTACTTGTACCAAACACAATTCATTGCCTTCCTAATTTGTGCTGTTTGTGGGCAGAAAAATGACCAGATTTCTTTGAATAAAGAGAAAAGGCAGAGGCTCTCACCAAGTGGATGAAATCTCTGGCTGCAATTGCGAGGATGTCAGCACAAGACACAACGCCAGGGCACTTGCTCTCCACCAACGCCTTGGCCTTCTTGATGCTCTCGAACCCTTCTTCCCTCAGCCCCTTGTTGTCCTCTGCGTCTTTCTCCGCCGCCATTTTGCTGCCCGGCTTCGTCGATATCAGAATCGACCCATCACAGCCCTGCCATTTTCAAGAGCTTCAAAAAAACAGGTAATTGAAATTGATTGCACAGTGCATGCAGTAGAAAAAAGGTGCATTTTTCCGTGTGGGGGTAATGGGGTTTTCTAATCTCTTACTTCAACAAAACAATCATGGAAGAAGAGGCGGAGGGTTGCTGGAGCAGAGACTGGTGCGTCTCTGAACTGTTGATTGGTGATGGAGGAGACGAGTTGCTCGAGGTGTGGGCATGTTTTGTTGTAGTAGTCCACGGAGAGCAGGCGTGGGCGGCGGGCGGGGGCTCGTTTAGCTGCTGCCGCTGCTGCACATTTTGATGGTGTGTGGTGGAACACGAGAAGCAGAGTGAGAAAACAGAGGAGAGAGAGAGGGGAAGAAGAAATTGAAGTTGGCGGAGGGGCTGGCATGACTGAGAGAAGAAGCAGCTTAGGACAAAGAACGAATAGTGGAAAGAAGAATATAAAAAGGGAAGACCCCAGGAGTTGAAGTTGTTGGAGGACAGATTGCTGCGAAGAAAAAAGGGGAGAATCAACACCCGTGAAACCCAATACTAATAGCAAAAAGCTAGAGAGAGAAACAACCAACAGGCCAAGGGAAAAGCTAGAGAGAGAAATATTAAAAAAAATGGAAATTTTTGGGTACCCAGAAGTTTTATATTGTATCTGGGTCTGTGGGTCAAATGAAGACCAGTCAGTAGCATCTAGAGGATACCATTTTGGTACCAATTCTCATTTCACCTCTCATTAATGGGCATAGAATATATAGCAATTAATCATTGATAGGAACAAGAGTAGGAGGTTGGGTTATCATTTGGAACAATTGCAAAATTTTGCAGTTCATATATATGCTTCTGTTTTAAAACAATGGTCCTTAAATCTACCATTCTTTAACATGTCTTGATTAGACCATTTGGTTTTTTAATGTGAACGACTAATATACATCATAGTATAGGTGTACAAGTCACACTTGTGAATTGTTTCAACAAGAAAATTTTTAATATAAACTGTAGCCACATGGATGTTGAAAATATGCATATTTCATGCATTGTAATGTGAAATAATTCCCAATTATAGAATCACTTCTGTTTTACTGTTGTAAGCATACTACTTTCATGCTCTGAATCCTATCTGTAATTTTCATTCTCGTGGATAATTTTGACATGAAAAGTATACTTTGTTGATATTATTGTATTTATTTTTGCAGTTGGGTATTATCGCGAAGGGGTGGTATAAATTTTGGCAGCCACTGAAAAAAATGAAATAAATGGAAGGCTGATAAAAGCTGATGCGGAGAGAGGGCGTGGACAGAAGTCTAGTGATAAGCCAAGCCAAGCCAAGCATGAGTGGTGATGTTCATAAATGCAAGGCATGTGCAGGCACAGGGGCCTCACTCACTTTACTTTACCCCATTTTTTCTAATCATGTATCAATGTCGCCCACCTGATTTCATCCACCATTTTGTGTTAGATTAAACAGGATCTATACCCTTAAAATGGTACTTTATTATCTATTTTAAGTTTAAGTTATACGTATAGGACAGAGATGTTGTCTTTTACTTATAGTTTGATACTGTCTCACTTTTTGGAATTATATCAACATTTTCAATATGGTAAAATACCTCGTAGGTCGGAAGAAGAAAAGTTATTGGGTATCTATAAGTAGTGACAATTTGTTTGTTGGTTCCGTAGATGCATTCTTTTACTATAAATCAAGAGTAAACCGGACAATATTGTACTATTATAGAGGTATGTAATGTAAGATGAAAAAAAAAAGTGTTTTTAAGTACCAAAAACATATTTTAATCTAAAGAACAACAGTGTTAACATGGGAAAAAAAAAGAGAGAGACATTTTTGGGTTTTTTTGTCTTT